CAAGAGATAATCCACAAGGTTGCTCTAGAAAGCAAAAAATAAAGTTTTGACTATCAACCTCTCAAAAGAGAGTCAGGAGAAATAAAATCTTAACCAAGTGAATGAGGTAAAGTAAGTGACAACTAGTGATATACATTGGATTCTTAGTATTGGGGCAGCTACAGGCTGTCTTTTTAGAGACAGGGTCTCACTATGTTGCCTAGACTGCCTTAAATCCTAAATTCAAGTGATCCTCCCAGCTCTGACTCCAGAGTAGCTGGGACTACAGATGTGCACCACCATGCCTAACTCTCCCTGTTCTTTTTAAATCCCTTCTTACCCATCTTAGAATCCACTATCTACCATTAACTCCTCCCTTGTAAATAATTTTTAACTCCCTTGATCCACACTCCCTCTGTACAACTCACTTGGTAAAAGCTCAATCCAATTCTTTACTTATTTTGTGCCTGCTCCCAAGCAGCTAAATGTTGGAGAAAAATCGTGCAGTCACAATCCCTTCAAAATTACAAATAAGCAATTCATTAATACCCTTCTTTACTAAGTTCATTTTCCCATCTCCAACAGCCTTTTCCCCTCCACTTTCAACCACCCCTCCTACAGCTAAATGATACTGTCTCCCACTTAATCACGAAAACAGATGAAAGCAGAGAATTACTTATCTTTCCACTACTAATTTCAGTAACCTTCCTGCACCTGTAGCCACATTCCTCTTAAAGATAAGGGGCAATGAGTTCCTGTTCCTGACTAAAGCCAGTCTCACCACCTGTGGCCTAGGTCTCAAGTCCATCTGCCTCCCTCTAAGACTTCACTTAGGTAATTATCTTTTTTTCTCTTGGACACCTTCTTCGACTATCTGTTCAAATGTTGTATCTTCTAAGAGTCTTTCCTAGACTATCCTATCTAAGAGATTTCCCCTTTCTCAATCTTTTTTTTCTCCTTTGTGTGTTTTTTTTCATACTGCCTGTCATTACAAGAGATGCTATATTTATTTATTTCATGTCTGTCTTCTTACTACAATGTAAGCCCCCGGAGGACAAGAATTTTGCCTTTCTTGCATCTATCTTTAGCACCTAATACACTGCCTCATAACATCCTAAGTGCCCAATTATTATTATTTTAAAGGCAGGGCATGCCCAGACAATTTTTTTTTTTTTTTTTTGGGTAGTAGAGACAAGGTCTTGCTATGTTGCCCAGGCTGGTCACAAACTCCTGAGCTCAAGTGATCTTCTTGCCTCAGCCTTTCAAAGTGTTGGAATTACAGGCGTGAGCCACCTCACCCGGCCCCCAATTATTATTTGTTGCATGAATATAGAATAAGCTTCAAACTTCATATGGCCAAAAGAATCACTGATTTTCTGCCCTGATGCATTCCCATTTCAGTAAAAGAGATCACTCAGTTATGCAGGCTCCATACCTTGGGGTCATCCTTGATTTCCCTCTTTTCTTTATAGCCCACATTCAATTGGTCCACGTTGTCAGCTCTACTTCCAAAATATATTCTAAGTATGACTACTTTTCATAATTTCCATTGCTATAGTCCTACCTGAGCTACCAAACTACCACCTGTGGACCACTATGGAAGTTTTACCTTGTCTCCATCCATGCAGACACCAGAGTGATATGTCTAAGACAAAATAAAAATCTCATTCCATTTAAAAAAAACTCTAAAATGACTTCCTATTGCAACCAGAATAAAATCCAAATTGTTTGCCACGGCCAAAATTGCTTATTTACATGTTTACTATTCCTTTTTCCATTAGAAACATCTTGAATAGTACCTAGTATATAATAATCTTTTATAACTTTTTTTTTTTTTGAGACAAAGTCTCACTCTGTCACCCAGGTTGGAGTGCAGTGGTGCAATCTCGGCTCACTGCAACCTCTACCTCCCAGGCTCACACGATTCTCGTGCCTCAGCCTTCCCAGTAGCTTGGATTACAGGCATGCACCACCATGCCTGGCTAATTTTTGTATTTTTAGTAAAGACAGGGTTTCCCCCATGCTGGCCAGGCTGGTCTCAAACTTCTGACCTCAAGTGATCCACCAGCCTTGGCCTCCCGAAGTGCTGGGATTACAGGCATGAGCCACCACTCCTGGTCACTATTTGTTGAGTTGGTTGATCCCTCGCTTTTGACACTCTTCAGAATAGCAGTTCTTAAGATCATAACCCCAACATTCTAGTTCTAAAACATATCCACATATTTACATACTATTTATTCTACATATTTTATGTTCACATATAATAAATACATATTCTAAAAAGGGATTATTGGGCATGCACATTTTGTTTCGTTAGAGGGGTGTATAATAGAGAAAGAAAATAGAGATAAAATTAATTTATTTAAGTTGAACAAACATTTGCTGAGTTTCTGGTGTTACGTGAACCAAGACAAATAGCCTATCCTCGAAAAGCTCAGAGTGGGGTAGCAACATGTATTTTTTAAACTGAAAGGACAGTCACATTACCTACTTCTCTAATCCTTTGTATTATCCCTGTTTGTTTAAACAGCAATAGAGTGTGTGAAGCTGGCTGGAAATAAGAACTGTATATTATTTGCTCCTCCACATAAAGATACTGAGTTTATGTATCAAGTATTTTCTAGATGCAGGACATATAAAGATGAATAACCCTTGCCAGGCGCCATGGCTCATGCCTGTAATCCTAGCACTTTGGGAGGCTGAGGTGGGCAGATTGTTTGAGCTCAGGAGTTCGAGACCAGCCTGGGCAACATGGTGAATCCCCATCTCTACAAAAAGTACAAAAAAAATTTAGCTAGACATGGTGGCCTGTGTCTGTGGTCCCAGCTACTCGAGAGGTTGAGGTGGGACAATCACCAGAGACCGGGAGGCAGAGGTTGCAGTGAGCCAAGATCATACCACTGCACTATAGAGTGAGGTCCTGTCTCCAAAAAAAAAAAAAAAAAAAAAGATTAATAACCCGTGAGATAAATGAAGTCTAGTGAAAACACACATGTAAATAAACAATTATAAATTTATTTATTTATTTATTTATTTATTTGAGACTGAATCTTGCTCTGTCATCCACACTGGAGTGCAATGGCGCGATCTCGGCTCACTGCAACCTCTGCCTCCCAGGTTCAAGCCATTCTCCTGCCTCAGTCTCCCGAGTAGCTGGGATTACAGGTGTGTGCCACCACACCCAGCCAATCATACCATAATTTTAAAACTACTATGTATGCAGTGCTGTGGCAGCACGGTGAAGGATGCAATTAACGCTGCCTAGGGAAGTCTGAGGGAAGGTAATATCTGAGTATGATTAGAAATAGCTCTCCAGATAAAAAAGAGAGAGAAAATAATACAATATGGAGTAAACAATATAGACAAGTGAAAAGAAGAGTGAAACAAATTTATATAGTAATCAACAGTGATTGATTGAATATACCTTAAAAACCAAGTATACAAACGGCGGAGTAGGGTTAGAGTATAAAATCAGGATGAGATTCTGTGATATACTGAAGAACTAATTAAGAATTTAAAGAAGACACACATATTTTAAAAATAAAATAGTGGAAATGGAAAAGATAGGTTGAAACATAGGAAGATACTGGATAAAAAGTCATGTAAGCAGTAAAACAAACTGGATTACCATGTGAAACACTAAAAATGTGACCAATAATTTTGCTATTATTATTATTTTTGAATGAGTGATATTTTATACATTTATTCTTTTATTATTTTTATTTATTTATATTTTTGAGACAGAGTCTTGCCCTGTTGCCTGGGTTGGAATACAGTGGTATAATCTCAATTCATGGCATTCTTGACCTCCCAGGTTCAAGCAATCCTCCCACCTCAGCCTCCTGAGTAGCTTAAGATGACAGGCGTATGCCACTATGCTCAGCCAATTTTGTTTATTTTTTTGTAGAGGCGAGGTCTCACTGTGTTGCCCAGGCTGGACTCAAACTCCTCGACTCAAGGTATCCACCTGCCTTTGCCTCCCAAAGTGCTGGGAAAACAAGTGTGAGCCACCATACCCAGCTTGACTATTATTATTTTTACTACTACTATTATAAGTCTGGCAAAAGATAATAAAGTTCTGAACTAGGTACTGCAGATGAAGAATGTGAAGTCTGTTTGAAGGTATGAGAGAGAAGAAAATGGATTTTCAGCATGGGCACTAATTGAGGGTGGAATGGCAATGAAACCACAGTTTCTTCTCTGACTTTTTTAGTCTAACTGCTCTCCAGCAAAGTATTCTCAAAAGCTCCCCTTTTAGCTAAAAAGCTCTATTTCAGGTATGGACAAGCTGAACATATTTCCTAGAGTCTCCCAAATTATCCTGATGTGAAATTCTGTATATGGAACTAGTTTGACTGGGTGCAAACAGCATCTTTTTTCCTTAGGACTCCTGTATCCTCTCTCTAGGCTCTTCAAGTGGGGAAAAAAACTGAGAAGAGAAGCATGTTTCTGCTCTTTTCACTGCACACACACTTATCTTCTATCACACTGCTGCTGCTTGTAGAGCTCATTATGTACAGTGCCCATGCTAGCCACTGAGGAAAGGAGACAACAATATGGAGACAACATAGACCATGGGGGTTACACCTATGGAAGGTAGACAAACATTTAATAAACAGATCATGGGCCATAGTTTCTGTAAAGTATTTTTATAAATAAAGTTTACAGCCATGCCCAATTTATGCATTGTCTGCGGCTGTTTTTTGCTACAATGGCACTGCTGAATGGTTGTAACAGATTCTGTGGCCCACAAAGCCAAAAATGTTTGCTATCTGGACTTCATAAAGAAGTTTGTCAAGCTCTAAAGCAGGCCATTAATTAATTTTATATGATAGTGTGAGAAAGAGGAAGCTGGTTAGTATGAAGTGTTGGGGCAATTACCCTGAAAAACTGAAGGATGAGCTTAACAAAGGAATGGTCTCAAAGGCAAGGCTGGGAGTAACAGCATTATGTAAAAGACCTGAGGTGGGAAAGAGCACAGTGCATACCAAGAACTGAGACAAGGTCAGTGTGGCTTGAGTACAAGTAGTGTTGTGTAATGAGATCAGAAAGGCAGGCACAGATTACATGATGCAGGGTCTTAGAGGCCACAACACCGATTTTATATCTTAATCTATAGGACAATGAGAGCCTATCAAAGGCTTAGGTGAAGAAGCGTGGTTATGAGTAAATCTGTGCTTTTAAAATATTTCTGTTTTAAGGGAAATAATGGGAGAAGGGGTGGACAGCAAGAGATTTAAGACTAGTTAGAAGGCAACAAGAGATCGAGAAAAGGGGATGACAGCTTGGATCACAAGAAAGGAAGGAAAAAGAAAAAATTGAGAAATATATAGGAAGATGAATTGGCAGAATTTTTTGACTGATTAAGCGGAAAAAGCTGAAGGAAGGACAGCTGACAAAGATGATTATTATAACATAGCATATATAACAGGCTGGATGGCTAAACAGGGTACATGAGGTGAGTACAATGGAAGGCAGGAGGAGGAGATATGGGAGGAGAAAATTAGCTCACTTTGTTTAAAGTATCCCAAAACAAAATGAATATGTCCACTAAGAGTTGATAAGACAGGGCCGGGCGCGGTGGCTCACGCCTGTAATCCTCGCACTTTGGGAGGCCACGGCAGGCAGATCACTTGAGGTCAGGAGTTTGAGACCCACCTGGCCAACATGCTGAAACCCCGTCTCTACTAAAAATACAAAAACTGGCCAGGCGTGGTGGTGGGCACCTGTGGTTCCAGCTACTCGGGAGGCCGAGGCAGAAGTATCGCTTGAACAGGGGAGGCAGAGGTTGCAGTGAGCCAAGATCATGCCACTGCACTCCCCTGGGTGACAGAGCAAGATTCCATCTCAAAAAAAAAAAAAAAAAAGTTGATACACTGGCCAGCAGAAGTAGGAAGGCTGGGATGAATTTTTTGGTGAGGTCTCGATAATGAAAGTTTTGTTTAAAAAACAAAACAACAAAAATTGGATAATAGTATTAAACCTTATATACATTAACTTTTATGTCTCGGTTAAACGGACATAGAAAAAGAAGTTACCCACAGGAGAAGAGAAAGAATACACAGGAAAAAAGAATGTTAAAAAGACCAAAAGTCATAAAAAAGATATATATCTGCTTTACCATTTTGCCTGAGACTTTGCTGCTAGGTTTAACTGAATCTGAGCAAATAAGACTGCAAGTATTTTCATTCTCCACAGGTGCTCAGTAGAAATATGGATTCCAGCTATAAAATGGTCTCAAAATATGACCATTGAGTGAGGGTCTAAATGCACATATGTTAATCTGGTACCCAGATCTTACATGCTTTGTTTTGTTTTGTTTTGAGGCGAGTCTTGCTGTGTCCCTCAGGCTGGAGTGCAGTGGTGTGAACAACTTACTGCAGCCTTGACCTCTGGGGTTCAAGCAATTCTTCCACCTCAGCCTTTTGAGCAGCTGGGACCACAACTGTGGGCCACACAGCTAATTTTAAAATTTTTCTGTAGAGACGGGGGTCTCCTTATCTTGCCCAGGCTGGTCTCAAACTCCTGAGCACAAGCAATCCTCCTGCCTCGGCCCCCCAAAGTGCTGGGAATACAGGCATGAGCTATGATGCCCAGCCCCCTTAACTTGCATTTTTGAAAGTCATCACAAACTTCAGGACTGTATATAACACTCCCATAAAAATAAAAAATTAAACCCATATAAAAGAGAATTCTCGACACTTACTTTTCAAGCTCTTCCTGAGAATGGGCAAATGTACAATTTGTTCCTCGTGGACAACCCCCTTGCTGTCGCAGATCTCGGCACATGCTAGTCTTGTATTTGCTGTTTGGCTGAGGCTACAAAAATGGAACACATTCAATGAGTGGCAAAGTGAAGATTCCATTTGTAATTCACTCTGGGAAGTTCAGAACTTTATAATTACACCTTTAATTCTTTTTCACATTAGACAAGTAATTCTTGTGCTGAAACAACTAATATTCCATTGTTTCCTGTTGTGAGTTATGTGACATAACCCTGAGTTGGCACTTTAGATATTCCTTCTGAAGATTATTTGAAACTGGCTCAAATGTTATTATGTCCATTTATTCATTAGTTAACAGAATGCCCAGAAAAAGACAATATTTTTTCATCAATTTATTGCCGTCTTAAAATTCTGCTACCAAAATCAAACAATTTTAAAAAGCATTTAAAAAAGCCGAAAGCTTTGTCTATTTAAACTTTCTCAGAAAAGGTAGAATACAATTCCCCCAGAAGTGAAAAATTACCAATTCACTTGTCAACTTGAGGGTACAATTCTCAGGCTTAAACTATCTGAGTTCACACAATGCGGCAGAATATTAAAATTTCACTATGACTTCTACAATTTGCATCAAAATCTAAGATATTCTTATTCTTTTTTTTTTTTTTTTTTTTTGAGACGGAGTCTCACTCTGTCGCCCAGGCTGGAGTGCAGTGGCCGGATCTCTGCTCACTGCAAGCTCCGCCTCCTGGGTTTACGCCATTCTCCCGCCTCAGCCTCCCGAGTAGCTGGGACTACAGGCGCCCGCCACCTCGCCCGGCTAGTTTTTTTTGTATTTTTTAGTAGAGACGGGGTTTCACCATGTTAGCCAGGATGGTCTCGATCTCCTGACCTCGTGATCCGCCTGTCTCGGCCTCCCAAAGTGCTGGGATTACAGGCTTGAGCCACCGCGCCCGGCCAAGATATTCTTATTCTTATGAGCCTAAGATGAAAACATTTGCTTTTCAGTCAACATTTTAAGTTACAATGTCTCCTAAGAATGAGGAAAGAAAAGTACAAAGTGTGGGTTTGATCCCAGCTCTTACTGACAGCACAATCTTTTTTATTTTTTTTTATTTTTATTTTTGAGACGGAGTCTGGCTCTGCTGCCCAGGCTGGAGTGCAGTGGCGCCATCTCGGCTCACTACAAGCTCCACTTCCCGGGTTCACGCCATTCTCCCTGCCTCAGCCCCCAAGGAGCTGGGACTACAGGTGCCTGCCACCACGCCTGGCTAATTTTTTGTATTTGTAGTAGAGATGGGGTTTCACTGTGTTAGCCAGGATGGTCTCGATCTCCTGACTTCGTGATCTGCCCCCCTTGGCCTCCCAAAGTGCTGAGATTATAGGCATGAGACACTGCACCCACCCCCTGACAGCACAATCTTATATTATTTAACCTCTTTGAATTTCAGCTTGGACATAGCAACTACATTGCAGGTGACTGTGAGGATAAGAAATAATACACGTAAAACATTGAATGTAGTGAATGGCTCATAATAACTTAATAAACAGAAGTTATTAGTATAAAGGATTATATCTTAACTTCTTTTTATTTTATTTTATATTTTTGGAGACAAGAGTCACTCTATCGCCCAGGCTGGAGTGCAGTGGCGCTATCTCGGCTCACTGTAGCCTCTATCTCCCGGGTTCAAGCGATTCTCCTGACTCAGCCTTCTGAGTAGCTGGGATTACAGGTGTCCATCAGCATGCCAGGCTAATTTTTGTATTTTTTTTTTTTTTTTTTGGTAGAGACGGGGTTTCACCATGTTGGCCAGGCTAGTCTCGAACTTCTGACCTCAAGTGATCTGCTCACCTCGACCTCCCAAAGTGCTGGGATTACAGGCGTGAGCCACTGTGTCTGGCCAGGATTATATCTCAATTTCTAAAGTACATTGAAAATTACCTTGAAAATTCAAATTTCATCTGGGCACGGTGGCTCACGCCTGTAATCCCAGCACTTTGGGAGGTCGAGGTGGGCAGATCACCTGAGGTCAGGAGTTTGAGACCAGCCTGGCCAACATGGTAAAACCCTATCTCTACAAAAAATACAAAAATTAGCAGGGCATGGTGGCGCTTGCCTGTAATCCCAGCTACTTGGGAGGCTGAGGCAGGAGAATTACTTGAACTCAGGAGGCAGAGGTTGCAGTGAGCTGAGATAGCATCACTGCACTCCAGCCTGGGCAACAGAGTGAGGCTTTGTCTCAAAAAAAAAAAAGGATTCAAATTCCATAAATGACAATTTCCCACGGTAGAAAAGAATTAGACAAAATGGAATCAATTATCTACATTTGGTCAAAAAAATTCTGTAATGAAGTATACTCACATCTAAGATACCCTCAAAACTCTTGCTGTGCTATAAAATGTTACCAAGTACATTAAAAACTGGGTTTCTCCCAAAAGAACAGAGATGGTAAAAACTTATGAGTCACATACTGAGTCCAATTAACAAAACAGCTTGTTAAGATGTTCAGGATGAAACTGAGTTAGAGATAATAGCAGTCAGAAATGTAATAGATATACTTACCTGAGGGGTCTCATGGCCTTTTCTACTATAATTTTGTATGAAGTCCACAAGGCCATGAACTACTGTTTTAACAGCTACCATTGCATTTTCTAGCTGCTCCCAAGTTGGTGAAACAGCATCTAAAATAAGCCACCAAGGGCATGGGGGTTGGGAGGGGAAGAACGTTAGCAGTAATTCTCTTGTATTATTCACCTCGAAAGTAGAAAAAAATATAAGCAACTGAGCATGTTCCCACATACCTGGATTAGGGTCTATGTTTGCAAGAAGCTCTAAATGAGGTCTCAGTCTATTTAAGTTAGCTGGGTCACCTGTTCGTTGCAAAACAATTGTCAATTCCTGGACACTCTTTGCAAATGACTCTGGAGACTGTAGCTAACAAACAGAAATGAGAATGCTTTTTACTTTGGTTCTCATGACACATTTATATTCAATTACTTTCAATTTTCAACACATTTAATAGGTTTTCAAGTGTCTTCAGATTCCACAGTAGGACTATCAGTGATGAATTAAATTTTCACCTCAGAATCTGCCCTATGAAATTCATCATTAGACACTTAGAAAACTTATAAGCTGTATTAACTCTCTGAGGTCAGAATATAGATAAGCTTGAAATTTTGTAAGCCTCACTGCTTTTATGCTAGTATGTATTTGTTTCCCTGTTGCATCCCTTTATTTTGCAAGTAGAAAAATAAAAAGAAAATAAGGATAATTTATAAGAGTCTGACATTTAAAAACACAGGAATCTCCAACTGTTTGTGTATAGACTCTTTAGAATATTCTATTACTCTTCAACGTAACAGCAATGGTAGAACATCAGCAACTCTAATTTCACAAACCTTATCAATGATAGACTGCATGTGTGATTTATGAGCCAAATCACCATACAAAAGAGAGGACCACTGTTCAGGTGAAATACGGAGTCCTGCTTCCATAGCAATATGAACAATTTGGGCATCATGTTCCCTGCGTAACGCTTCATAACTCCGAAATTCTTCCTTCAGCTGCATTAAGGAAGAGTCTTCATCTCTTTTGGTAACCTAAGAAATAGAAAAGAGAAAAAGAAACTCATCAGAATTGGTCTGTGCTTTCTCCCTTCAACTGATTCGTTTATTCTTTTTTCACGGAGGCTGGGGGATACTTACATATCAGACACCACACAAATAAGGTACATAGATAAGATAATGTCCTGACCACAAATTCTTTCTGGAACAAAACAGAACTTACATAACTAAATACATAATCCCTGCCTTCAATGATTTCAGCCACTGTTAAGAAAGAGAAACTTGTAAGTAGAAAATTACAGTAAAAGTGCTATTATAAGGCTTGATGGCAACAAAGAGGAAAAGGAATTAAATTAGCGAGAAGAACGGGATTTCAGAAAAGGCTTCTCCCAGCTGAAAGCTACATGAATTGATTTGTGTACAATAAATATGAGTTTCCTGAGCAAAGAAAGGTGAGGAGGCCGGGGTGGTGGCTCATGCCTGTAATCCCAGCACTTTGAGAGGCCGAGGTGGGCGGGTCACTTGAAGTCAGGAGTTTGAGACCAGCCTGGTCAACGTGATGAAACCCAATCTCAAATAAAAATACAAAAATTAGTCGGGCGTGGCGGTGGCAGGCACCTGTAATCTCACCTACTCGGGAGGCAGAGGTTGCAGTGAGCTAAGATAGCACCATAGCACTCTAGCCTGAGGGACAGAGTGAGACTCCGTCTCAAAAAAAAAAAAAAAAGAAAAAGAAAAAAAAAGGGGGAGAAATAGAATTTTTAAAAGAGCAGCAAGTGGTGAAACAGAAACATGAAAAAGCAGAACACATAGGGTTAAGGTATGATACAGGCTATAGAGTAATAATAGAGGGCATTATATACTACGGTAGGAAATTTGGATATTATCATGAAGGGAATGTGAACCCACTGATTTTTTTGGAGGGGTGGGGATGGGGAGGACAGGGTCTCACTTTGTCACCCAGGTTGGAGTGCAGTGGCACGATCTAGGCTTGCTGTAGCCTTGACTTTCTGGGCTCAAGCAATCTTCTCGCTTTGGCCTCCCAAAGTGCTGGGATTACAGGTATAAACCACTGTACAGGGCTGATTTAGGATTTTTAAGCAGAGAAGTGACATGATCAGATTTATGTTTTAAAAAACATCACTTTGGTAACAGGAGAGGATAAAGATAGACAAGCAAGGAATCCAGCTAATAGGTACACATATATTAGTACTACCACATGATAATTAAGAAATTTTCTTGGGAGGCTGAGGCAGGAGGATGGCCTGCACCCAGGAGTTCAAGGCTGCAGTGAATTATGATGGCACCATTGCACTCCAGCCTAAGCAACAGAGCGAAAGTCCGTCACTTGAAAGAAGAAATTTTCTGCTACCCCAGAAATTATCATCAGGGTATATAGCTTTAACCTCTACTTAAGTAGTAAAAAACTATACATTAAAAAGTTACAGAGTTTTATAGGGCCTAGTGAAGTGTGTAGAAATAGAGATTAATTTCAATAGTTGCCCTAAGAGCATGAAACTAAACATTATGACTATGAGGCAGATAGTGTCCAAGTCTCATTAGTGGAGTTAAATGAATTAATCCCAACACATTTCTATTACCAATTACCTGTTATCTCAAACTAAGCGGTCTGCCAAGAAAACAGTTTTCTGTCTGTACTATTTTCACTCTTGGGAGCTATAAAACCAACAAAATAACCTAAATAAGCTTTGGTTTCAAATTTAAATGTTTTACTTTCATAGAAGCCAATAGGCCTTTCTACTTCCAAGTACATGAGACATTCTCAAGACCCAGGCAGCAACCTACACTCTTGGATCATAAAAACACTTTAAGGATTCAGCTTGCTTTCAGTATCTGTTACTACCTGCTAGCCTATTAGACAATGAAACTACATTTTAAAATATATTGGGGTTCTTCCCTACCCCTTCCACTAAACAAAAAACAACATCTAAAAGCAGAGTGGACCAATCTCCTCAACCTTCCATTTCCTTGTTGTATGTGAGATAACATGTAGGCCATTTTCAGATTAAAGGTATTAATCTAATCACTACAGAGAATGAGATAACAAAAATAATAATGGGTTACAAAGTTTACATACTCCTTATGAAGTTTTCAATATAGTTCCTGATTTCAAGACACTAAATGTAAAGAAATTAGGTTTCTGCAGTCCACTTTTACTTGATAAGAGTCAAGTTTACCAAATGATTTCCTTATGTTCTTTCTGTTACTGACATCTTCACATATATACTCTTATTTTGCCAATAGATAGTAACAGGTACTACCAAAAGGTGGTACCGCAGATGCAATCAATGCAGAAGGAAAGTTTCCTCTCAACTCTTGTAAGCATTCTGTATTGCTAGGGCCTCTAGACCGGGTAACAGGAATTTCAGGAAGTATCTGTCTCACAAACAGGCATGTCTTTCCATAGATACTTAGTGCTTACCTTAAAACAAGAAGCTCGATACAGTAGTTGCACAACATGACCAATACTTGTTTTTGATGCCTGAGGAAATCTTGGTTCTAGTCTCTGCACAACAAAAAGTACCAGAACTTTCCTTGAGAGGGCAGAACCATCTTCCAATGCCAGTAATACCAGCTTCAAGGCCTCTTCTTGCATAGCTAAAAATATTAAAGGAACATAAGTTCATGACAAATGAGGAACCCATCAGATCATGCGTGTCACAGACATCTTTGGGTATTAGAGTTTATAGTGGCCCATTACCCATAATCTATATTTAATCAGCACAAAGAGGACATCACACGTACATAGTTTATTTAAAAGGTAATCAAGCAAAATAAAACATACTTTCCATAAATAAAACATTCTTCCACTAAATACCAATCAGAACACAAGTTAACAGAACTTAAAGTATCTTCTGTATTTAACAGTCAATTAGATGATGATAAGGTTAAGGTAAAAAAAAAGTCATTTATAAAACACATAGCTGGGTGTGGTGGTTCACACCTATAAATCCCACCACTTTGAGAGGCCAAGGCAGGGAGACTGTTTGAGCCCAGGAGTTTGAGACCAGCTTGGGTAATATAGGGAGACCCTGTCTCTACAAAAAATGTTAAGTATTAAAAAAATTAGCCAGGCATGGTGGCATGTGCCTGTGGTTCCAGCTCTTGGGAGGCAAAGTGGAGGATCACTTGAGCCCAGGAGGTTAAAGCTGTAGTGAGCTGTGATCACGTCACTGCACTCCAGCCTAGGTAACAGAGACGGACCCCATCTCAAATAAATATATAAAAATTAAATACACAGAACTACTCTGACAATGATATGCAAAGGACCCACAGCACGCTTATAATAAATGGTATTGTTTTCATGCATGAGACTGTTACTTTGCCTGTCAGAACTATTTTGCATATAATTTAAAAAATATTAGCCTCTGAATGCAAAACCCAAAGAAGGTATTAATTTCATTTATGTTGCTTTATAGCCAGGAATATATAGTATAATCTGAAGTTAATCATTAGAGAAAATCAGATTTCTAAATTAAGAAATATTCTGAGGCTGGGCACGCTGGCTCATGCTTGTAATTCCTGTACTTTGGGAGGCCGAGGCGGGCAGATCACCTGAGGTCAGGAGTTCGAGACCATCCTGACCAACATGGTGAAACCCCATCTCTACTAAAAATACAAAAATTAGCTGGGCATGGTGGTGTGCATCTGTACTCCCAGCTACTCAGGAGGCTGAGGCAGGAGAATCCCTTGAACCCGGGAGGCAGAGGTTGCAGTGAGCCGAGATTGCACCGAGCCGAGATTGCACCACTGCATTACAGCCTGGCGACACAGCGAAAGTCCATCTCAAAAAAAAAAAAAAAAAAGAAATATTCTGTAAAATAAATAGCCTGTATTCTTCAAGAATATGTGTCATGAAAGTTCCAGAATAAAGACGACTAAAAAGAGACATGACTAAAACATACAGAAAGTGATCTTGAACTGGATCTTACACTTGAAGAAAATAAATACTATAAAAGATATTTTTGGAATAGTTGACAAAACTGGAATATGAACTACAAATTGTATATAGTACTGTATTGTATCATTAATTTTTAAAAATTTAATGAATGTAATATTGTTACATAAGAGAGTATCCTTGTTTTCAGGAAACACACTGAAGTATTAAAGGAACGGAGCATAAAATAAACAACCTACTCTCAAATGGTTCAGAAGAAGAGGGAAAAAATAACAAATATGGCAAAATATTAGAAACTGCTGAATGTTGGTAAAGAATATACAAAAAATTCTCTGCATTATTCTTACAACTTTTCCATAAATACGAAATTATTTCAAAATTACAAATTACAAATACATGGTTATCAATCAAAACAATACAGCTTAAGAGCAGAAATATTATCTGGATTCAAAATACCAACCCTTTTTCTAAGTGAGGCTATTGAGGTCCAGAGAAGTTAAGTGTTTAAGCCAAGGTAACATATCTAGTTACCAACAAAATTGGAACTATAATGGCAAAAACCACAATTACTTTTGCACCAATCTAATAGAACCAAGGACTTTTAAAATTTTTTTAATTTTTTCTTTTTTCTTTCTTTCTTTTTTTCACCTCCCAGTGTTTCTCTGCTAGCAAGGACTTCTTTTAAAAACTGAGATAAAATTAACCATTTTAACTGCACAATTCAGTGGTATCTACTATATTCATAATATTGTACAACCATCAACTCTAATTTAAGACATTTTCATCACCCCAAAGGAAACTCATTGCCATTAAGCAGTCACTGTTCATACACTCTATACACAGCCCCGGCAACAGTAGGCTGTCTGGTTTCTTTAATTTAATGTGGGTTTTTTTTCTTTTTCTTTCTTTTTTTTTTTTTTTGAGACAAAATCTCGCTCTGTCACCTAGGCTGGAGTGCAGTGGCACAATCTTGGCTCACTGCAACCTCCGCCTCCTGGGTTCAAATGATTCTTGTGCCTCAGCCTCCTGAATAGCTGGGATGACAGGTGTGCACCACCATGTCCAGCTAATTTTTTTGTATTTTCAGTAGAGACAGAGTTTTCCCACGTTGGCCAGGCTGGTCTCAAACTCCTGACCTCAAGTTATCCACCTGCCTCAGCCTCCCAAAGTGCTGGGATTACAGGTGTGAGCCACTGCGCCCAACCTAATGTAGTATTTTTGAAGCTCATCCACATGCAGCATATATATGCATTTATTCCTTTTATGGCTGAGGAATAGCCTATTTATGGACATATTACATTTTGTTAATCCATTTATCACTTGATGGACACTTGGATTGTTTCCACCTTTTGACTATTGCAAATAATGCTGCAATAAATACTTGTATACAAGTATTAGTTTGAATATCTGTTTTCTATTCTTTTGGGTATACACCTAGGAATACAACTGCTGGGTCATATGGTAATTGTTTAACTTTTTAAGGAACTAAACAAATTATTTTCCAAAGCAGCATACCATTTTACATGCCCACATTCTCCACATTCTCATCAACATTTGTTATGTTCCATTTTTTAAAATTATAGCTACTCCCAGCATTTTGGGAGGCCGAGATGGAAGGATTACTTGAGGCCAGGAGTTCTGAAGTTACAGTGGGCTAAAACCATGCCACTGCACTCCAACCTGAGCAATGGAGCAAGACCCTGTCTCTAAAAAAATGAAATAAAATAATGGCCAAGTGGGTATAAACAAGTATGTCACTGTGATTTTGATTTGCATCTCCCTAATAACTAAATACACTCAGGATTTTTTCATGTGCTTGTTAGCCATCATGTCTCTTCTTTGGAGAAATGTCTACTCAAGTTATGTGCCCATTTTTAAATTAGGCTGTCTTTTTGTTTCTGAGCTGTAGAAAAAAGAGATTTGACACCTAGTCTAGTGCTTCTTTAAAAGTAAACATCAGAAACATCTAAAGGTAACATTCTTTAATTCTGTATGAAACTAGATTTTTGAAATATTTTAAAAATTTGTATAATGGAAAATTTTAAACATACATAAAAGCAGAGATAACTTGCACCCATAACACAGCTTTTGCCAGTCAGGTTTCATCTACTTCATGCTCATTTTTGTAGTTTACTTTGGTTGGAGTATCTAAAAGTCCCAGACAATATATTACTTCATTCTTAAGTACTTCAGTATGTAATTCTAACAGATAAGACTTAAAAAATTGTTTTAATATAACACCACTATCACACCTAACAAAAGTAATATATTTTCTTTCTTTTTTGAGACAGGGTCTTGTTCTGTCATCCAGGCTGGAATGCAGTGGCATAATTGCACTCATTGCACTTCCACCTCCTGAGCTCAAATGATCCTCCTGACCACAGGCATGTGCCACCACACCCGACTCATTTTTGTAGAGATGGAGTTTCGACATATTGCCCAGACTGGTCTCCAACTCCAGGACTCAAGCAATGCGGCGCCTAGGCCTCCCAAAGTGCTGGGATTACAGGCATGAGTCATCCCACCCAGCCACATTATTTTCTTAATGTGATCTAATATTCAGTCTGTTCTATTTTCTCCCATTGTCTCAAAAATGTCTTCTCAAAGTATCCAAATCACATATTGCTTTTGATTGATGTATCTATAGGCTTTAGAAAAAAATCTGTATCAATTCTCCACCATCCTCTAACTCTCTCATTTAAAAGAAAATCTATTTCTTAAAGAAAAATTTTTCTGAAGTTTCCCACATTATAGATCTGATAATTTTGCGCTGACAATATTTTTAATTTTTTATGTATTATTATTTTTTGAGACAAGGTGTTGCTTTGTCACCCAGGCTGGAGTGCAGTGGCATCATCAAGGCTCACTGTGGTCTCAACTTCGTGAGCCTCTGATCTTAGCCTCCTGAGGAGCTAGGACCACCGGTGCATGCCACCATGCCCGACTAATTTTTGTATTTTTGGTAGAGATGGGGTTTTACCATGTTTCCCAGGCTGGTTTCAAACTCCTGGGCTCAAGCGATCTGCCCGACTTGGCCTCCCAAAGCTCTGGGATTATAGGCATGAGCCACTGTGCCCAGCCTATGATATTTTTAAGTATGGTCCTCTAGCCTCCTTAATTCATGTAAAGTTTGTTTGCTGCCAAGGGCACCTCTTATTCCATGCATCATGTCAAGATATACACAGTACAGGCCTATTTTTTTCCACTTTCAGTAATGCTAAGATTTATCAGTGGGTTCAGACTTTATCCATCTATTATAAACTTCCCCAGTTACCTCTCATCTAAAGGGTTTAACAGCCATAAATAATTCTTGCTGAAGCCCATTAATACATTTGGGGATGCAAAATTGTGATTCTTCTAATTGTATCATTTTCTAAATGTATTATTAGTTTGAATTCAGCTAAAAGAGGAAACTTTCCTCAATATGTAAGAATCGTTTTGTACATATTGTGTTTCAATGCATTGGAGTCATTCATTATAATGTTTAAATTGCCCTACTTACATCTACTAGGAGCTCCTTCATGTTCAATTCTTTGTCCTTTCAACAAAATTGTCTCTCCCTTATCTCTTTCTCTGGGGGTCAACTGATCCTCCCACCTAAGCCTCCCAAAGTACTGGGATTATAAGCTTTTTTGCTTCCCCTCTCCCCACCCAGCACATGACTTCCTACCCCAGGACTGGAATAAGGCATTCACCCAAAGAGCCCTGCCTCTGTTTAGTGGGAAATGGTATATATGAAAGCCCACAATCTGGGTGTTAGGGTTATTCATCACTTCTAAGTATTTTCAGTGGACAGACCATGGACACTGGCATTTTTTAGAAATAGAAAAACAAATGAGTCTGTATTAAAATTGCCAATTCAAATTTAAGGCTGCAGGAGTTTTACTTAAATCTTTGATTTTATACTTGTATCTTTCCTTCTTTCTTTTTTTTTTTTGAGATGGAGTTTTGCTCTTTCACCCAGGCTAGAGTGAAGTGGCATGATCTAGGCTCACTCAACCTCTGCCCCCAGGTTACAGCGATTCTCATGCCTCAGCCTCCCGACTAGCTGAAATTACAAACACCTGCCACCACGTCCAGCTAAGTTTTGTATTTTTAGTAGAGATGGGTTTTTGCCATGTTGGCCAGGCTAGTCTTGAACTCCTGACCTCAGGTGATCCACCCGCCTTGGCCTCCCAATGTGCTGGGATTACAGGTGTGAGCCACCGTGCCTGGCCTTGTATCTTTTTTTTAAATGCTGAAAGTCTTGATTCTGGTGGCATTAACATAATTATTTGCTTACTTGTTTTATGCTACTGTGTGTCTGTTTAAGTTACTAAATAACAATACCAGTAGAATTATGAACAATATGACAAATGAATATAATTTAGGATTTATTGTATATTCCACTAGGGATATAAAGGTCAAAACACTGTGTTCTAAAGTAACCTGAAATAATTCATTCTCGAATGGATATGCTACCAACTTGTTTTAGCTTTATTTTTAGGTATTATTTTAATCATTTTTAATTAAATTTTAAAAATATTTAAAGTTGTTTTATAATTACATAAAACACTTATGTGGTTCCAAAGCACAAAACAAGATAGAGTTGACAAGGTATAGCTTCTGTCCCTGTCTGCTTTCCCTTGATTCCTTGTTCTTCTACATACTGGTATTAGTCTTTTTTTTTTTTTTTTTTTTTTAACCATTGTTTCTTTTGGAAAATTTAAATGATTAAGTTGGATTTTCTCCCTCCTTC